ACACACACACACACACACACAGTCAGCTCATGTTACATGCCTAAGTCAGCACAAACAATAGACGTCCATATATCCACAACAGGTTTCATGGTTGTTAACTATTTATCAGCTCAAGAAGCAAATGATTATTTCATACTCTTCCCGTGCTGACAACACTCACCTATAGGATGATATATGACAAGCATCATCAAAATAAATAAATAAAATGCAGTCTAAAAATAAATAATTTTGCTGTATGAACTCCATCCATTAAGTGTTCCAGTCTGCCTGCATTGTTCAGAGTAATAACTGTCATTATGAGAGCCATGATTACTGAATGAAAGAGGTAGTACAATTAAAAAAACGGATTTTCAATTTTGCTGCTTTTTGCAGCCTCCAGAAAAAAAACATGCTTCTCTATATTTTAGTCCAGTGACAAAGGCTTTCCAGTAAGTACTACAGAAATCACTTAGGTGTGACTCACTACCAACCATCGAGCGGTTTTCCTCCTGATTTCTGTGTTTTATGGAGGCGGACAGCAGTGAGCAGAGCGCTTTCCCCATCAATAACCTCTAACTGCTTAGTGGCTTGATTCTCTGCCTGGTCAATGGTGGATTGGAAAGAAACAAGGGTGGTGTGTGCGTATGAGTGTGTGGGGGTGGGGGTGAGGCAGTAATCTGTACATTAGTAGATTGAGGATTCACTCGAGGGAGAACAGATTTATGGCAGGTCAGACTACCTCCAGGGTGATCATAAACATTTCAAATCCACAAGGTAACGTCAGCATTTTACCTGGAAATCTAAAATTTTAAAGGAAACTCTTACATTTTACATTCACGATTTACTCTACCCACAATATAATACAGTATAATATTATGTAAAAGGATATATACTACGTATATCATTATATCTTAATTACATTTTACTGCTTATATCTTTGTATCCCCAATTGTGGGATCCTTAAAGTATATTTTATCTCATCTTGTCTTTATTTATTAGCACCGACAACAAACTCACACTAGAAACAAACAGAGATTCAGTTCAGTTGTAAAAAAAAAAGACCAAATACATATCATCTTTTTCAAGTTTTCCAGCTTCACAATTTAATATCTTAGTTTTTTCTCAAATCTAACCATGGAACAAATAAACAGCTGCAGATTTTCAAAACAACGAATCAGATTCTTCTTGTTAAACTATAATTCAACATCTTAGATACAGTCTATGATCTGAACATAGACCAACCAATTTGTTTCTATTACATTCACAGGATTTTAAATTTTTTGGTGACCTGCTTTTTTCTTTTTGTCTTTCGTCGGGTGGTCTAAAACCTTTGACTGGCACATTGTTTTAGAAGTTGCCTACTTCATTTAGGTTTCAACTTTTATAAATCAAATCAAAATCAAGTCCCACGATTGGGGGACGTGATAAGTGATCAAAATGTCAACATAATATCATTATCTAATTTCTGTAATTTAATTCAGAGAACTCTAAAACTATTAGTCCTGGTATGAGGAGATAATATCATTTGGAAGGGCATGACATCTACAGTGGGTTCACATGGAAATGCCATTCATTGTAGAGCATCTGCTGCCCTCAGGTGGTTGAACAAAGAAGTTGCCTTCTTGTCAATATGATTGATTGAACAAAGGTTAGTGTGTTTGAGCGTTCGAGGAGCTGAGAGAAATGTTTAAAACGAATGTTACATTTCGTGTTACAGTTTAACTAATCACTTTGTTAAGACTTCACTTTGCAAAGACTTTGAACAAACACTCAAATAGCTGGAACTCAGACCGTCAGCTGCACTTTTCACAAATCCCAACCTGGCAGTTTAATCACGTGGTGTTCTGAATTTTTACTCATTGTGAAAGCCTCTGGACCATCATTGAAAATGATGTACAACTGCATAATAAACATTTCCAATGATGGCAGCTGCTCCTTGTTATGATGACAGTATCAACATGTTTCTGTCACAACAGCGAAGAACAAAGAGTTCACTGTTTTTCTCCTACAAAATTGTATGTTTTTTGAGTTTCTTTGCTGCCCCCTGCTGACGAGACGTTGGCGATAACACGACAGGTAAAATGTCGTCATTATAAAACTGATAGATTCAAAGACATGACCTGAAGCAGACTGTGGCTGAAGAGGAAACACTCAGTTCTCCATCAATTCTCTGTTAGGTTTCGCAGATGCAGAGAAAACAATATACAATAATGTTTCAGGTACAAAATTTAATAAGTAATAAACAACTTGAACAGCCCTCGACACAACACAGTGAGCCTTTTCAAAAAGTACACCGAACAACAGCCAACATTACTAAAAGCAGAAAACCAAACATGTTAAACCATGTTAGATCGGTCCTTGACATTATTTAAAGCTTAATAAAAAGAGAAAACTCATGTGTAAAAGAAAAAGATAAAACAAATCCGTCTTGTTAATAAAAAACCCCAAACCCAACTGCTTTACAGCTATTAGCGTCAAACGTTAAAATGCAACCCCTCTTCCTCAACAAACTAAATAATTTAAAGCATCTTTCATGGAAGCTGTGTTAAGCCTCAATATGAAGTATTATTTTTACTGGTGTCCCTGTAGTGAAATGCTGGTAAGAGAATTATTTGTGGTTTTAATGTTCTGTGTGAGACCTGGTCAAGCTACAGTTCCTCCACGTGTCTGCAAGAAAAAAATAAGTTTACTCACTTTATTATCATTTGATCATTTACAAAATATTATTAGACTCAAACATGTAGCGCCGCACATGACGAAGCAGATTATGGATTCCTGCAGCATTTAACAATTCTTATCTATAACTTTGTTCTTTACAAGTGGACTGAAACAGTTTGCATACAGAATACTGATAAGACCACATCGATTTTTTTAACTCACCATGGGCTTCATCTCTCGTCCATCTCCATCTACTGGCTTGCGATAACCCATTTTCTTACTGTTCTCAACAAATTCCTGACACGGAAACAGAGCAACATGTTATTTTCTTTTCTTTTTGTAAATTGTCATGAAATAATCAGAAATTCCTCTCACCATTAAGGCCTTGTCCATGAAGTACTCCCTTCCATGGCTGCCATCATTATACTTTGTGTCCACAGCAAAGCAGAGGAAGAGGACGTCGACCACGTTCTCAAATACAGAGAGGAAGCAGTGGGCCACCAGGAAGGCAAACACGCAGACGATGAGGAGAGGAAGCACCCACACGGTGTAGTCCCTCTGGTAGTTCAGAGCCAGGACGCCAGCAAAGGCTGTACAGGAGACTACAAGCACCTGAGGGAGCAGGTTTAAGTCTGGTTAGAAAAAACTCCAGTTGTTTCAATGGGAAAAGAATATGTGTCTGCATATTACCTTTCCCAAGAAGAGCACAAAGTCGCCAACAGTGTTTATGGCGGCCACTCGGAGCGCGTTCTCCACCAGGATAAGAAAAGCGTCCCGAGCTGAGGTGCAGAAACTGGTGCTGTTGATGGCTGTGGCAGTGTAAGCATTCTGAAATTACAGGATATGGTTCATGTTTAACTTGAATCTGTTGTAAACCACATTTTCTTCCTTCACCAACCTCAGATTACTCACTTGGTTCAGGTATTTCAGACACTTCTCAAGACACCACAAACAGCAGACACAAGCCTTCACCATGCAGCGAGCACAGGCGTTTTCCTACGGACAAAAAACCAATTCACAGGTTTACATCAACAACAGTGGATATACGTATATATAGAAAATACCAGGAATGGTTACTTACTTGCTTGCTGCAAGTTTTATTGGAGTTTCTTACAATACTAATAATTAAAGCCTGATCTATATAGATTTGACGATATAAGGGAATTAACTAATTGAGCAAATTGGATTTTAAACATAACCATCGATAGTTATAAATAAAAAAACACAAATAAAACCAACTATATAGAACTAGAATTAAGATGACGAACATTATTTTATGTAAAATGTAAACTGTCTGCATGTCTTTTCTGCATTGATACTGTAAAATAAACATTTTCATAAGGGCAAACATTAACCCAAATACTGACTGTGAAAGGCTCATATCAGGCGATATTATTGGCCGAAGGATAAATCGTCCGGCTCTACTTATCACAGCTCACCTTTCCTTTCAGCTGGCTGTGGATGTACGTTAGGATGAGACGAGGGATCTTAACAAGTGTGATGATGAATGAGCCTTTGGCCAGAGTACCCAGGTGGTAGCGGATGGTACGTGCCATAGCAGACAGGATGGGAGTAGCTGGCATCTGGGACTTATTCCTTCAGTTAAACAGATCCAGAGAATGGATATCAACATAACCCAAAATCTGAATTATCAAATAAATCTGACAGCAAACGCACAAAGTCTTTCATGTACTACAGTACTAAGTTACCCTTCCGTACCTTGTGAAATAGTAGGTGACCACAGCCCCAGCGATAGTCATCTGCTGGAATGCAAGGATGAACTCACTGATCCAGATGAGACCCACAGCGTGATACCACACCAAGTACTGAAAAGGTCCCTGCATTTGATATTCAACCGTACCAGTTGAGTTGTTCTTCACCGGTGTCCCTTTGGGGAGAAGACGAGTGTGAGATTTAAACTGAATATTCTGCATCTAATATACAATATATCATTTTGGAATTTTAGATTTGGAACAAGTAAAAAAGACTGTAATTGTAATCATACCCCCAAAAAATAATTGAACACTTATTAACTTGTTGTTATCGTTAGCGTTTATCTCAATACATTGTACAATATAAACAAATGAACAGAGAACAAAAAAGTGTTTTAAATACTACTTGGGTAGAGCCGTCTGCAGAAAAGAGAAGTGGGAGATGAAGAAAGAAGAGGTTCTTTGACTACACCCTCCCACATCACGAGACTTGCACAAGCTTCCAGATGTGGGAGTTCGGTCAGGCCACAACACCAAGACCAAATGTCCCAAATAACAAACCAAATATTCTACTTGTTTGAGAAACGGAATCACTACACACATCTGATGCTAGAAAGTAGCTCATGTGCTGCATTAGCAATTCAACAAAAAGTATGCACCAATAAAACCACATTGGATTGTGAATGCAGTTTTGAATCTGAAAAAACATCCATGTAATTAAACCACTGGCACTGAATCTCTCCATCAGCCTCTGTCCCAACCTGCAGTTCCGAGGAAGAGAAGCACAGCGATCCAGTAGACCCAGAAGAGCATGAGGCAGAGGAAGGTCCAGAATGGCTGCAGGACCAGCAGGGGAAGATGCAGGAACACTTTGCCCGCAACATGGAACAAGGAGATGGTGAGGGCCACACGCTTCCTCATGAAGAACATCACCAGCAGGAGAACTAACTGGAAGTTTACACAGAGAGTTTTTCTGTTCAATTACCGTCATGCAATGAAGCTAAGGAGTCAGATAATTAAAGTTTGATTTTTGTGTACCTGTGCACTCAGACATACCGTGAAAATGGTGGCACCAATTGCATACACAAGCAGGGCCTTGACGTTGTCCGAGGCGACTTCGCTCCCAAACGTTGATGCGGTGCTATTTTCGAAGGCAATCCTGTGGTCGGCGTACAGCCACCAGAGGACAGCAGTCCCACCTGCGAAAGATCAGAGCAGAAACTATTGACTTGTACCAGTATGATGTAATAAATAGCGACTGAATAAATTATTAACATGTTTAAAAATGTATTACATTGATAAGAGTGCTGAAATAAATATAAACTTCTAAATGTTACCTATAGAGCCGATGATTACCAGAATGGTTATAATCCACACCAGCACTTTGGAGATGTAACGAATGACAACCATCATGATGAGGGAAAGAACTGCATCAGAGAGAAAATAACACAATGCATCATATGAGGGTATCAAACACACTGCGTGTACTGAGTAATGTTAGGTCGAGTGGAAAAAAACATGAGGGTGAGGGGGAGCAATAAAAAGCCCAGAAAGATTGTTCGTTAATAAATAACAGTCTTGAAAACTAATGAAAATCAAATAACTTAAATTGAAGACGTCTAAAACTGTTGTATGATCTGTTTTGTCTTTTTTGCTGTGACTACAAAATGAAACCTTAAATTAATGCCTGTGGGCTAAACAGGAAACAATGGTGTAGAAACATTTCCTGAGCAACAAAGCTGCACTGTGGGAGCAGCAGGACAGAAAAAAACATGTGCTTCTCACAGGTTAGAAGCAATTCATTATTCATTTAATCCACATGCACATGGTTAACGAGATGTAATGTGTTTTACCCAAAGCCAGAATGCAAAGGCCCATGATGATATCCTTGCTGGCCATCACCCCGGCAATGACACGGCGCAGCACAGTGTTGTCACTGACAAATGTGATGAATGACTGAACAAACTCGGCATAGCAGCCGATTTCCATAGGAAAACAGCGGTTGAACAGCGGGATAGCCTTACTGCAAACATGAAAGAGATGAACGGGGGTTAATTTATCTTCTAAATTCCTTTTAAGAGTTCTTAAAGCATCAGACTTTGGACTATGGAAAACTGTCTATAGCTGTGGACAAATTCTGGGGCAGCATCTTTTGGAGGACTCGGTCTAACAAGACACGGCTTTGGTAGACCGGGGGGGTTCACAAAGGATTAATGGGATCCTTCGTAGTTCAACAACGGATCCACCTGTTCTACCAGGAGGCTTTTCTCTGCCACATTTAAAAACGCCTCTGAAACAGGACAGCCCAGTCGCACATCTGTGATGTAATCTGTCATCAAATGCAGCCTCTGAGGGATGCAGCCCCTGACTTAGGACAAAGCTTAAACTTGAGTTCATTGTTCGGCCCCTTTTATTTTTGGGATGTACTTAAATAACGACCAAATGAATGGACTTCTGGACCTGTGAGTTAAATTTAACAGCAATTAATAAAATAAAAATTACAGCAGCACTATAAAGATGGTGGTTCCCCCTTTAAACACCACAGACATAAACATCCCTGTCAGTTGCTATATCAGTTAAGACATATCGTGACCACATCGGATGCGACCTTTTCCACAAGAGAATGCTGGCATTAAAAACATTGGGGAAAATGTTTACTTAAGTTTAGTTTTTATATTTCATTAAACTCTAAAGCACTTGATTACCTTCGTGAAACTGGGAGTTTGGGACATTTGGTGTATCTTTCTGGATGTCTTGTGTATCTTGTAGGAGCAATATCATAGGAGCAGAGATGGGAGCCTAAAAAGGGAAAAAATAAAAATGATATTACATGCTCAGTCTCGTCTTTAAGCAGGTATAATGGTATTAAATCTTTATGACAAACTTCTATTATAAATTGATGGAAATACCAGTAAACTGAAACTCTAAGTTAATACACAGGACATTTTCACATTTGCTCTAAAACATGCCGTTGTGGGGTTTTTTCACCGTTATTCAGAGCAAACTTCTTTAAATCGTCATATGTCGTCAGTTCAGACGCAGGGCATTTGGAGACACACAGGGCAATCGACTTGATCTTCCTGTTTATGAGATCAAGGTTGCAAGGATCTAGAAAGAAAACGTACCTGAGAGGAAGACAAAAATAGGAATTTCAGGTTTATTGACATGATTAGACCTTGATGTTTAGTATAAAGCCACTGGAATTTCCACTATCAGTTTATTTTGATATTATTGTGCCAGTTGGGACTTTTCTGTCTGGGCAGAAAATGCAAGTTGTTGACATTTGCTGTCCTGTCACACAGATCCTTCTTTGTAGCAGAAACGCCTTTTATTCAAAGCCTCCATGGGCAATCAGCCCAAAAAAGCATGACCCATTGTTTCAGTAAAACTGGGCTTGCAGGCTGCAGGCTGGTGGAAAGCTACTGCCCAAAGATTAGGCATGCAATCAAAGACTCCTCACATAAATTATGACAAAACAGAATTTCTCTATAGATATATAAAGAGAGAAACAAGCTCTTGAAGTATATTATTCATTCAGATATATGAAGAACTTAAGCAGAAGAACACAAATGCGACTGTGAGTCATGTGCAGCTCTGCGTTGGTGATGTTAATTTGCATTAACCTTGTGATGACTGATTACATCTTATCTTTGACCAGCATGAGAATGAGATTGTCCCGGATGGAGAAAACAATTGTGACTTAATATGCTGCAACACTTGTCTGATATATCCTCTGTTAACAATGTATACAATGTTTTAGGAGAGAATTATCAAGTGCTTTTGGAAATATATGATTTTCAGGTAAACACAATTAGGTCACGGTCTGAACAGATAAAAGGTAAAGCGATGTGTTTACAAATGAAGCGACCTGTTTGTTAGATTAGGATTACATGATGCAATCCTTGAATGCAGACATGTAAGGCTTAATGGCTCCGTCTGTGAAACTAACTCTCAACTACAGTAGGCAAAAACATGTTGGGTTTTTTTTTTACATACAGAAAAAGTGGTGACACACATACACATTGTGGTAATAAGAGTTGAAATGTTTCTACACCATTGTTTCCTGTTTAGCCCACAGGCATTAATTTAAGGTTTCATTTTGTCTGTGTTGTCAAGAAAATCCTGTGATCTCCACAGAGTTAACGTGTCAATTCCTGCCTCTTCCTGTCGCTTCCACCTGTCTGCTGCACCCGGCTGCTCCACCTCTCACCTGAAAAATGTGGAGGATTTGTTGCTGCTGTGAGCGTGTCTGTGCAGAGGTCCTGCTGTGTTGTGCATGTGTGAAAGGCAAACTCTGGGTAAACTCTGCAAAATCTGATGTAAATAAACCCCTCCATCTCATGTTAAGTAATTTGTTAATATTCAGACTAACTTGTTTTCTCTCAAGTCTTGGCCACTGAGAGGGACTCCCTCGATCTTGGTGTTGTTCTGACCGCAGGTGTTACCATAGCTGTCATATCCTGAGATGAGCCTGGAGGCAGCTCCTGTGGCGATGGGGTAGCAACAAATACATGCCTGCAGAAGAGACAGATAACAAGTACACAATATTAACTATCTGCATGAAATACAAAGAGTAATAAATACTCATCTTCAGTAGGTTTTAGGCTTAAACAATATGGAATCAAACCCCAATTTTTAAATTTGCCTTAAGTACAAATACAGTCACTAAAACTAATGAGGTCTAGTCCAACACTTCTGCAACCAATCCTACCTTTGTGCAGGTTATTAAGTTAAATGTGAGGTTGTGATATTGTTCAAATGTATCATGCAATGCACCTACACAACAAACTACAATCTCCAAAGTGATGATGAAACAACAACCAGGACGTCCCTGAACCACTTTCAACCAAGCCAGAATTAATTAGAGAGCTTTTCCACAAAGGGTGTCTGTTTGGATTAAAGGGCCAATTCAATGATCAGTTTTCTTTTCTTTGACTCGTTGACAGGTCAGTATAACCTATAAACATGTAAAAGACATATATACATAAACACACACATTGGACCAAACAAACTGGGTTGATTCTACTTCCTGTTTAACTTTGAATCCTGCAGTTTGTGGTCACAATGTAATTGTGCTGGGTTGTACTGAGTGTAACGCGATTCAGATGAACCACATGCAGAACATACTGAAATGCTGCAGAATGACCCTGAAGTTGACTCAGCCGATGACTGCACATTCCGATGGAGATGATCATTTACTTGTACCCGCGTGCATCCTCCCGTTCATTTCCAACACTCACCATGCCGACACAGAACAGCGTGAATATGATGAGCCACGGGATGTCCGTGCAGCTGCGCTCCTCCAGCGGTTTCCAGTCCCGTTTGCCCTGCTCACACACGGACAACAACACACGGGAGCTGTTAGCTTAGCCTGGCTGGTGTTTGTTTGCAGCAGAGACCCTGCGGCTCCAAAGCCCCAGCTGATGATACTGACATGTTGTGGAAGGGGTGAAAGTAGCAGACGGACACGTACAGCTGCAGATTTAAAGGTTTTAAAAGTGTCATTGAGACAAACTCACCTCGGAGCTGCCGCCACATCCCATCGTGAACCGCGACTTGAGAACAACACGGACTCAAAACTTTCTTCGTCTGTTCTTCGCTGGAACTTTTTCAGCTCATGTCTCGCGTCTCATCTCGCTGCTCGGCTCTTCTTCGTCTGTCCCGGGGACCGCAGCAGAAACTGGAACAAACAAACTCTTTCTTTTCTTTCACTTTGCCGAACAAACAGACGCCCATGTGTGAGCGTCCCCGCGCGAGGAGGAGCCGCAGGTGAACGCGGAAGGAGTCGAGTTTCTCGTGTCGCCTTCACGTGCGCTCAGACAAAATCCCAGAGTGGGAGTAAAGATGGAGGACGCGACCGCTGCTCAGAAGTGAAGCCAAAGCGTCTCAGTCTCCACCTGGTGTTGTAAAATCCATCAAATAGTAAAAATCAATCAATATTATCTTATCTGTGTCTTTCTATTTCTGCTTGCTCTGACACAGTAAATTCCTTGAATGTGAGTACGATTGTGATTCCGATTCTTTTAGGTGGTTCATATCGCACTGATGTGTGCAGGGCTGCTCATGTTTCTCAGGGTTTAGTTATTCCATCTACTAAAACTGGGGTGACACATGGGTGACACTTAATGATTGACAGCCAACACCGACCCATGATTGGTGGAGCGCAGGTATTGGCGGCATCTCTGTGCAAACTCTCCACTCCAGTACTCCAGAGGAAGTGGAGAAGTGTTGCCCATCTTTATTTATAATTTATGAGGCAAGTGTATGAGCTGAACTAAAACTGTTTTAAATCATAATGAATAAAATGTTATTAAACTTTTAATATCTGTTTCCACTGCACCCGCACCGTCTGATTGGAAGTCAAGCTTATTCCCTCGCTTGATTAGGTGTAGACAATGGATTTATTAACAGAGAAACAGCAGGGGTTCTTGATGAGCAAGTATTTCCCAAACCTTAAAATCTTACATTTCTGGAAGAGAAAGATTTTCCTGATATTCTTGTTTTTTCTCAGCCCCCCCGCTGCTTTGGCCTCATCAAAGTCCTGTTGATATGGAAACATAGACAGTGAATCCTCTGAGGAAACAGAGGCTTTATTGAAATAACATCTCTAAATGATTAAGTCTATAGAATACTGAGCCAATAGAAATCCTTAGACCTCCTTAGATGCCTCATAAGTAACACATGGCACGTATATGTTATTTTAATGTCTAACATTTTGATAAAAATTCACAACAAATATGTTATTGTAATCAAAATTTAAAATGATGTCTTATTCTTTATGCAATTGTATGAATCATACTCCCTTGTGTGCAATAAGTTATCTACCTCTGTGCAAAGTCTTAGGCACTCCAGATGTTTAGATTCATACCTAAAAAACATCTGTGGGGCATCTGATTGTGGCCGAATAAGTGAGAGAATAGCTCCAAAGACAGACAGAGGTAAAGATCTATCCTCAGTGACGAGAAGAACAAGTCCTGCAGCACATGGACTGTCTGACCCCTCAGAGCCCTGATCTCAACAGCATGGACTCAGCCTGGAACTACATCCAGAGAGAGAGGACACAACCTGTACTGTTATGTGTGTTTTGTGACAAAATCTGTACATTATTATTATTTGTTAGTAAGATTTGAAGATTTGAAGAAGAAGAAGAAGAAGAAGAAGAAGAATGATTTAGAAAGATACAACACGGTGGTTGTGTAGAATTTGGCGCCGCTTGCTGGAGCAACAAGGTAACTTCACTGAGGCAGGATGAAAACACTTCATTGTTGCCAGCTCTTTACTGACAGAACATTTTAAACCATGGGAGAGCCTAAAAGCTTAACAGAAGCTTTTCACGGCAGCCATTTTGACATGAAATAGAGGATAAACAGAGGTGTTGCTAATCATATTAATTAAGGTGTGCTCTATTTAGATGGAGCTAATGAATGTGATTAGCAACACCTGTATAAACCTTCTATTTCCTGTCAAAATGGCGGAAGGGTGCGTAGCCTAAATGGCGGCAGCCATGTTGAACACACACAGGTGAGTACGGATGAGTTTAAGATTCATAGACTGGTTAAGCTCGGGTTATTGACGTAGTTATCATTAGCTGTTGCTGTAAACTATTTTCTGTATGTAAAAACTTTCAGTTTCATATCATGGCACAGGAGAGGCTACATGCTACATTTCAATGACATACACGAGCCGGGCTTACCCTCCATTCCTGCAGAAGTCATTTTGTCAACAGGTGACACTGGGTGACAGCCTGTTCTTAATTCTTACTCATGTTAGAACAAATGTAAACTAAATCTGATAGAACAGCCACATTGTTAAATATGATTTTGTCGCCACCATAAGTTTGTTTTAAGTCATTACATCCAGTTTCTTCCATCAAATGCTAATCCACTGATTAATCACAGGCAGTTTCATGTTGCCGGGGGGAACTACAGGACTTCATGTGGCTGAGATTCCCTTGTGAGGGGATGTCTGCTGAGGAAATCCTGACTGCTGCCGCCTCTCAAGCTGAAGGACCATCTCGTTCCTCACTCTGCATTCAAACTGCATGAGGTAGGAGTATCCCAGAGGCACATACATTTAAAACTCCAAGCAAAGACTATAAATATTTAGATTTTTATTAATCTATCTCGGTTGTGTATTAACACAGTATTTCCAAAGAACTGCCCCCTTGTACCTCATAAGTTCACAGTTTTTGCCCTCATCGCTTGGGTCTGTTTTCTTTGCACCCTTCCATTTACATTTTTTCTCATAACTAGTTTCATATGTCTGAAATAGCATTTTGAGGAGACATCTGCCCTGCCTGCTGTTTTTAAAGAGGTTTCCGCTGCTTAGTGAAGGTATCCTGACCTGTATAGTTCCAGAGTTGGCTGGAATGTCAAGCAGTTTCCTGCAGAAGAGGTGACTTGCGTCTTACTTTCCTCAGGGCTCTTATTGCACTATAAATGTTTCTCGTGCCTCACATAGAAGACCGGAAAGAAAGGTAAATATTTAACTCTGGCAGTCTAATCCACTTGTCACTCAATGAACTTAAAGCTGCGCAGTCGTTCTTGTGACTAATGTCTGCAGCCGTATACACCACATTTTTTAAAAATCATTATATTCCAGAGACATACTTGATATAAGCTTTTGTTGTGTCAGTTTAGATTGAAAGCAAAACTATGAGTAAGGAAACACAGATCATGCAGAACAGAACATATGACAAGCAGCTGATTATGAGTGCACACATGTGAGGGAACAAACGCAGATGTTGGGAGGGAACATTTGGAACCAGAATGCAAACGAACATGGAGCGGAAACATAACCGTTCAGAGATCCTGCTCATCAATTGATGAAACAGCCTCTGGCTCCTCATACTCCTGACTCTGGGTCTCAAGTATTTCCTGCTGATGCTGCTGTGGCAACGGTGTCCAAGGACAACACGTTTTCCTGGATCTCTGCTGGACGAGTCAATGCCAGCGCAGCATATGTTCAACAGAAACCTGGGTGGATGGGGAGTGAGGGGGGGTTGTAGTACGTCACTATCCTTCCTTAGAGGGTCTGGTCCAAGCTCAAGTGTCATTTCTCATAAACAATAAGACAAGTAGATAAATATTATTCGCCTATGTCCTCAGATACTTTCAAGATTCAAGCTGTCAGAAAATGTCAAGCTTTGGAGGATTTGATGAATTCCAAAAGGCGAATATTTTGGAATCTCCAAATAACACTGACTTTTTTTTTTCCGCAAAATGGATGGAAGGGGTGGTGATGAAGTCTCTTTCATTGTGAATCACTTGGCCTTTGTTAAATCAAACAGGACATCTTCCAGGATGAGCCGTTGAAATCATTAACTCATTCATGCAGCATTGCTCAAGAGAAAGCAGTGGATATTTGTGTTCACTAAATGAGCAGCTCAAACAAAGCAATTTGATATTAAAAGAAGACTCCTGCATTCCTGCACATGTTTTAATGCTCCAGAAGTGTGGGAATGTGCTCAGGTGGTTATAGGGTTGTTGGCCACATGTTTAAGTCAGAGAAAATCTAATGGAATCCAGCTGTTGTTGCCACCTAGTTATGTCCTGATCCATATGGAACCGTCAGGATGAGATGCAGGTAGATGGTGAGAGCAGAACATTGACTGCATTCACGTTCACAGTGCATCCTCGTAATCTGTGGTACAATTACATTTTTTTGTCCTTCAAATGTTGTAATTCCAGGTTGCTACATAAACAGCAAACAAACAGGATGTCTTTGAAGGGGAGACTGGCTGAATGATTTGGAAGGAAAGTCGAGTCAAATCACTTTTATTTACAGCGATCAGTGGTTCATACTGTAGCCTCACATCAACATGGTTTCTGGTTCCAATCTGGGTTTGGCCAGGGCCTTTCTATGTTTGCATGTTCTCCTCGTGTCTGCATGGGTGTTCTCCACTTCCTTTTCTCCCACAGTCTTCAGACATGCAGATTGGGGTTAGATTCATTTGAGATTGTCCAAAGGTGTGATGGTAGCATGTTAGACCTGCTGTTGACCTGTTCAGGGTGTATCTCGCCTCTCTCTCAATGTCAGCTGGCATTGCCTCTCGCCCCCTGTAGCCCTTATAGGATTAGTGATATGATAATGTGAACTGCTATGAAACACTAAATTCTTAAATCCTCCAATTGGATGAAGAAGAAAAAAATCAGCCTTAAAAAAGCTTTTAACTGAAAAAAATTTAAGAAATGTTTGGAACAGCAACCAATGAAGAGGAATTAATCTCCCAGGATGGACATACAGTAAAGACAGTTAATGTGAACTGAGAGGACAGAAATGATAACAATGACTAAATTAGGTTAATAGACCATCAATATACAGTATATGATGAATATGGATACATGAAGACAAAACCACTCTACTGCAAGAACTGTGTCCCAATTCAGGGGCTGCATCCAGAGGCTGACATTGAAAACTGATTTTGTCACAGCAGTGCAACAAGGCTGTCCCCTATTGAAGGCTCCTTCAAGTACATCTTTCCATTTTCAAAAAACAAAGGATCCGACCACAAGACTTTCTCTCAACTACAAAGACCTGATAGTGTAACACTTACCTACTGTATGTACCTGTCACATACAAGACGGAGGACTGTGAGAGGCAATGAGGCAAGAGTTAATACAATTTGTAATTGCTTTCTCATATTCTCAGTCAATTTGTGTATACCGGCTTGTCCAGGATAATGTCACAGTTCAAGATTCACTGGTGTTCAGGAGAGGAACTTTCTGGGAAGTCTCCACTTTGTGGCGTCATGAAGATCTTGTTTGGAACAGACTGTTTACATGTGCATTAGTAGCCTGTTTTCTAAAAAGCCTGTACTTCATACATTCACTGATTCAGGTTTCTTAAAAGCACATTAAGAGCGTATACAAATATTTACAAGCAGCAACACAAAAATAGGATATTCTTGAACATGGTATTGTGTTATACTCTGAATTGAAGCCTTAATAGATGAAGTTCATCCCCTGTTAACCAGTCTGGTCATTTTGTATTATCATGTTGTATTAGCTGATGTAAAATTCATTGTATCACCTCAGATACATTTGACTAAATGTTATCCAAACAAAATGCATGGACTGTGAACAATGTTTGTCCCAAGATGTTTGTTTTGGAGTAAGAACAATTTCATCTGATGTGTCAATGTGACACAATTGGTCATTCAAGTCTTTTTATCATGCAGACAAAAACAGAGTAGCTACACAGTGAACACTGATTGGACTGTCTGTGTGCTTGAGACAGTGTTTTCCACTGTCATCATAGAAATTTAAGATGACACAAGGTCTGAATCATCTGATTTGAGAAACCAATTCCACTACAGCCTCTCACACAAACACACACCAATATAACATCCTCCCTTGTATCATACACAAACATGCACACACAGACCCTCTCACAAGAAGATTAGATAGATTATTTTAGCCTGTTATGGTCTGTCCCTTTAATAACTTGTACTTCCTGTTCCCACGGTAGCAGTCACACTATAAACCACGATCCAAGGACCCCCTTGTTGTCTCCCACGACGACTTCTTCCACTTAGCCCCACTCGAGAAAAAAAAAAAAGCAAGTTAAAATCAACAGATGATTGAGGATGACTTTTTAATTAAAACAGCCAAGCAGGAACCGATTTTTATTTTTTTAATGCACTTTAGTTGCATCATCTACACTGGGATGTTTCATTGAAGAATATTGCAATTCCTCAAGTTCCCACCCAGGCTTCAAACCCTGTTATTTAGGCCGGCATGACTCTGGCCTTTTGAGAAGGAGTTGTTAACCACAGGGCAAAGCAAGTCACAGGAAAGGACTGCAAGGATCTTGGTGTGGTCTGTTAATGTTATTTTTAGAGCCTCAGATGAGATTCTCGCATTTTGTTTAGTTTTCCTTTTAGTATAAATGAACCCAAGATTTGTTTCTCTAACTTCATATAACTGCCGCGCAAGTACATTAGAAACAAGTTATTTAAAGAAGTCTTAAAAAGGGAGCAACAAAATCTTCTCAAAGCAGCCTTTGTATATGCAAGGACTCAAAATGACTCAGTTATGGGAGGAAAAGTGTTTTTTTCTTCTTTTTTTTTCCTCCATAAGCGTCACCTACATTTTCCTACATGGGCAAACACTCTGTGTTCTTCAATGCCCATGATTTAGACTGGCTCATTTTTCCAATAATAAACTATATCAGTGAGGAATGTGAGGCTGTTTCCTTTGGGCCCTCACTGCTCCACTTAAGAAGCTCGAACAGTGGGGGATTATAGGGTGAATCATGAATAGGTCTTTCTTAACCATGTATGTAACCACTCTAGACATGTGACCTATGATGCTGTGCGCTGATGAGAATGTTCATGCTCATCCTCTGTGATGTGGGACTGTGACAGAGCGTGGCCTGTAATGATGACTCACAAGGCTAAATAAATATTCACATACTAAAAAATAACTATATACAAAAGCATTTACACAGTCTAGAATAGACTGCACTCCACACTCATCACACAGATTACCATAAAAAAGATGAGGTTTAGTCGAATGACTATAATAAGAGGGACGCTATAATCAGAGTTAATCATTTGTATTCAGATGAATCCAGGGACGACATATTGGTTGGTTTGTCAGTCAGAAGGACCAGGATGCAATATCTGAACCAGAATGACCCTCAGTTGTGCAGATACATCCGCCAACGCCCAACATTCCCATTAAAATCAATCAAGCTGCACCCAGTTTGAAACACTTATAGAAATTTGTCCCCTAAATATGACATTGTCAAAGAAAGTAATGAATTCTGAAAAATGTCTGGATTCTGGTTAGTGAACGACCAGCCCTACCTCTGTCACACATGCCACAGAATAAATGCACAATGATTCATTTATCATCATGTGTAATATCAATTCTAGGCTGTACTGTGAATATAAGCACATTAACTTAACTTGAACAAGTTGATATCGTCATTGTGAGCATAATATTTGAACTTTAGCATTTAGCTCAAAGGACCACTGTTCCTAGCAGCGCCACTGGCATTCCTGTAAACTCTTGTTCAAGCTGCCTTGCTAAAATACTTCAGTTTAATGCCTCAGCACATTGTAGTTCACACAGAACCACACACACAGAGACTTTGTTGATGGTCTTCTCGTCTTACCTTTGTTGACTGTATGTGTTTGGATCAGATTGTGACGTAGACCAGTTGCCCTATGGCCGTCGAGGACAGTGTGATTGGCAGGGGGGGAGGGCTGGTCTTTTAAATTATATGCCTGTGTTGGATGTCCACAGGAGGTAATGAGTGGATAGCCTGAGTCGTGCTGTGTGTCGGCATCTGCACTTCAATCATCATCCATATCCACATGTAAGCTGCTGTGACCGAAAAAATCTGTATTTCATTTACACTGCGCTCGGCGTAACCAGAGCACATCATGTGACATGTTACAGAGGAGTCTTGTTGTCCTTGGATCCTTTTCCTTTGAGTATGACCATCTGTGTCCCTGGTGAGCCAACACTGACAGCAGTGCACAGTTTTTCCCAGCAAGGCCCCTAAGAAAAGACTCATCCAGAGCCTCACCTCACATCTGGATGACCCAGAGGTTAGAGTCCAGGGATGCGGCAGAAGTTGGAGGGGGATTCATTCCAGTTTTCCCTAGTGTTTGGATTGTCCCCATTGCTTTGACGTTTTGCTGTTTTTGTGCAGCTGGCTTTGTTGACTAAAATGTTTCATGATAACTATGATCACATCTTGATTTATTTATTTTTTTTAGTAGAGGGTACAGGAAGATGCTATTTCCCGGGTGCTATTACCTTCACCAAGGAGTGTTTGTTTTCATCACCGTTTGTTTGTTTCTTAGCAGGATTACACAAAAATGACAGAAACTATTCAAACTTGGTAGGAGGATGTGGTATGTGTCAGAAAGTATCCCGTTAAACTTTGATGCAGATCAGGGATTTTTTGTTCCTCTCTTTTTAACATTGCGAGATGATTGCATTTTGCAACATTTTTGTTGATTTCTCAGATAATATTTCATGGATCTTGAGGCAGGTTTAAGGAACTGATTTCGATGTTTGTGCAATTTGGTGCAGTTTGATGAAATTTTTAAGGGGACTGTTGTTGGGCCTTGGCAGCATACAGTCTATTTTTTATTGGTGGGTCTGGAGGTCTTTCACTGGCACATGGACATCTGTGGAAATATTCTGTTTATTTTAGTTGATTGATAGACTTTGCTGATTAACATTTATCTTAAATGGTCTCAGTGACATCATGTGTAAATATCTCTGGCTTCGCTTTTTTATTCTTATTATTTTTTTATTCTCTAAGTGCGTCTGCGAAATTACTATATTTGGAAACATGTTGCTGGCATTTGGGTCCTTAAATGCATTTATTTGCTTTGGTTTCATATAAAACAAAGATATTGTCATAAAATGTTTTATATCTATTGTTTTTTTAAAGAATGGTAAAAGAAAATATTTCTTAAAACAATATCTTCAAAGTTATCTTGTCTTTCATTACAGCCTGTGTGTTTGGTTAAGAATGCTTGTACAGTAACATGACATTTCAAAAAAAAAAAACATGCCTCAGATATAACTTCCAAAACATAGGCGCAATCTCTCTTGGCCCACAGCCATGGGTCTTACGAGGCAGCCTGTCTGGTCCTAATCAAAACCAACTGGAGGGAGCCTTACCCAGCTTAGTCAAATAGCAATCTAAGGCAGAATGAAGTCCACTGTAAAAGAGGAAAGACACGAGTTTTGAGAGAAGAAGTCGAGAGTATGTTTTAAAAAACAGAGCGAGGAGAGAAAGTACATTGGAGGAGGGTGGGGTGAATAAATGCCTATAATATGTTGGGTGAGTTGTGAGACGGGGGATGGGGCTTCTAGGATGCGACTCAGACTCCCTGTCAAAACCAGCGGGGAGGGAACATGATGAGAAAAGGGATATAGCAGGAGAGAGCAGAGGGGTGGAGTGGGGGAAAAGAAAACCCGGCCCCTCTTACACCACCCCTACTCTTTGGCATTCAGCGTCAGCAAAAACCTTAATGTGATCAAGATGGAAGTTGTCTATGGACTTTTCGCTGCTCCTCGGCTCTCTGCCTGCCTTTGGGGGCTTCACTGCCTGTCGGGCAGTTTTACAGTGAGGATACTGTCTGGAGTCCAGAGAAAGGCTTGCAGAAACCTGGACTAAGGACTGCTGACAAAATATAGCGTATGTCAAGTCACTTGGAAAGAGATGGATTTACTTGACTCTATTGTGGACGGATTGTTTTCGGTGGATGAATGAAAAGGAAAACATCTCTGGATAACTGTGCTCACAGCAAATCCTTGATCTGAAACCTCATATTTAATTACAAAATATACGTCTACCGGATTCTAACAAAAAAACAAACTGTCAACACTGGATAATTTACAAGAAGTAACCATTGGTTCTCTAGCATGAAATATCTTAACTGCACTGAGGTGTCAGTTCCGCTTTTGGCACGAGGGCAAGTGGAAGGAGCAACAGCTTTGGGAACATTTTTGAGACCTCCCTTACTTAACCAATAACCAGGTGCAGGTTCACGCCAGAAGGTGCAGATGGCAGTCGGTGTGATCCAGCTCCACTTTTGAGGAAACAAAAGGTGAAAAAGCAGAGAAAAACACCTGCTTTCAAATATGTTACTCTTCCATTTCTTTGATTTAGCATTTTAAGAAATCTTTAAGAAGGAACTCAGTGACATAATGTACAAAATGCTTTTTGTCAAATCTATTCCTTTGCCAAGACTTTACTGTGACCATATGAACAGAAATGTTTATATTGTACGGATATTATATATTATAAAAAACGGTTTTGTAGTTTCCAGTCACTTACTGTAGAAAACAGCAGCAGGAACTCCGACTGTACATCTCTGTACTTATACTTCTATCATGACAGTTTTTTTTTTAATATAGCAGATGTTGAGCTTTGATTTAGTGCATCCTGCTGTCGAGTCCTTGTGTTCCCTCACTTTTGTACATTCTGACCTAGAACAATAGAAAGAAAACATGGCACAGAGCTCTGTTCTAATCCTGTGATCGAACCCATGATGTGTAACTTTGGATTCCAGAGAACCAGCTGTTCAGGGACCCTGAGTAACATTTCACTTTTAGTTTCTTTCAGTTGCATCACTCTCATCTGTGGGAGCATGGACGTGTGCAGAATGATAGTTAGCCAGTTTGAATGTTTACACTGTTAAGTTGACCAATGAGGTGTCACCTTGTAAAGATGTTAAAAAGTAAACAAGGTGCATCTGCAATTATCTGGACAGTTATCCTCATGCTGTAGAATCCAGTCTGCATTGTTGTACTCACTCAGAGTTGCTGGCACGCTGCAAGGTGAAAGTATCAGTTTCCCATGTTAGATGAGAATAACAGGGGGTTGGAGTCATTTTATACAGAACCAGCTGAGTTTATACTTTCCAAGAAACTGAATGCAATGTAATTACACCCTGCTTAATCTTCCATTCACTTCTCCTAGCCTGTTTTCTTTAGAAGTGAAATGTTATTTACCATACTATCATCTACACATTGACTTACTGTTACTCTAACTTGGCTGTGTCTTACTCACTTTTCTTGCAGCTCTTATGGGATAGCGCAGGCTGACCACCATGCCAGTAGCCATACGGAAACGAAGTTGGGAGGAGCATGTGACCCACCCTTCAGGATTACAATACAGCTATGACGATCTGGATCTGGTCTGCTGTCACGGAGTGGATGGCAAGGGGCCTTGGATGGTAGCAGGGGCTTCCAAACAAGGTCGCCGGACGAGGTGTGCCTCTATGCCAGAGGGTTGTCATCAACTGCCCACAGAGGACCTGGCTCAGACATATGAAGTGACAGCTTCCATAGGGGATGACGATACTGACATTGAGCAGTTGAAGCTAATGGGAAACAATGACGAAATTCCAGTGGGTTTGCAGGAGGAGTCACTTCATGGACCTCCTGAGTTAGTGGATGTTGGCAATATTCCCCAAAGGGAATCTGAATCGGTGCATCTCCAAACCGCAAACATGGGGAATTCTGGAGACTGCGATTGTAACAGTAAAATGTTGACTGCAAATCTGTCTTGTGCAGCTGATAGCAGCACTCACACTGAGAGAACTATCAATGGTGAAGGTGAAATAGGCATAGAGATTAGCCAAAGTCTCCACATCTGCAATGATGATAGTGTCTTAAAAAGGCCACATATCTCTCGTGAAAAGCAACAAAGCATCTCTATCTCTTCTAACAATGGGCTTCCACTGTCTGAATCTGCTGGTGACCAGTCTGGCAAACATCCAAAGCATCAGGACACAAAGGAGAGCCACACAGAGGGTTACAGCAGACCTCCTGAAATCTCTGGGGCCACGCGAAACGGGTCCATTGCTGCTGAACTGGAACCTCAAACTGACCTCCCAGATGTTGAGGAAGAGACTATTTCAACATCTGAGCATGCTGGTGCAAATGTGATTATATCTAGTGGTGTGCTTCACAGTTCAGTTGATATGATGGAGGATGGTGATGCCATGTCACCAGCTAACACAATTGCTGCTGCAGACCCGGTTGTGACTTCAGTGGTAGATGGAGAGAGTGACCATGGGGTAAGGGAAAGCTGGAGCGCAGATTCTGCTGACAAGCTGGATAAATTAAATGACCAAGAAACCTTAAATGAGAATACAGGACTTGTACGTCACTCAAGAGACATTGCAGGAGGAGGAGAGCGAGATCATCTTGACTGCACTGGGGTATTGGATCAGGCTCCTGGATGTGAAATATCCTCCCAGACTTCATTGGAAAAGTGTAATATTAAAATGACAGGGATGAACAGGCCTCAGGGAGAGAAGAGGGCACAAGCAGGAAGCAGCGAGAACGCAGCACAAGTCAGGTATGGGCCAATCATGTCATCTGATATTTGTTTCAAAGGCCAGTGTTGCTCTGTGACAGTTACCAGCAACGTGTCCTCTGAACCAGGGGACACTGGAAATTCAGAAAAAGACCCCAGGCTGACAAACATCACTCAGTGTGCAGACCAGTATGTGGAAACAACGACCTCAAGAAGTCAAACAACAGAAGACGTGCAAGCAAGCTCAGTGTCCAAGGAGTTGTCTTTTTCTGAGGATCAAACCATCGCTCAGTTGTTGGAAAATAGCTCTTCAAAACTGGACACCATCCTAGAAGTTAGCTGCATTGAGCCAGATGACGCGCCTGCACTGGATCTTCAAAAGAACATTAACTTGAATATGACCCAAAATCCAGATGTTCAGCCGTCTCATATACATGATAAACATGCAGCTACCGAGCAGCACGTCCAAAACCTGCCATCATGCTCAGCAGAGGTCAACGATGAGCATTCACCAGAAGGAATCCATGGCAACCAATCGTCTGGACGTTACTCCAGTGAGTCACCTGCCTCTGAGGTGGCAGATGGTCAGAGGGAACACCACAGGCCAGGAGCCACAGTGTCTAGAATGGAGGAAGCAGATGAGGCCGTACATGCAGTTACTTACAGCGACACACACATTTCCAGTCCACTTTCAGATGGAACAAACAAGTGTGTGGATCTGAAAGAGGACAGCGTTGTCAAAGTGCGCATGAGAAAGGTAAGGACTCATATTATATAGACGTATGACGTTATTACTAATGTTATTACTTTTGTGTTTGTTTCTGATTTGTTACTGTGGCTCTGGTCCTTCAGCTACTCGGATTAAGTTCTTTCTTGACACAAGCTGACACTTACTGGGCATAAACGGCTGGCAAATCATTTTTGTCCCACACTGGCAAGCGTCAAGGAAAACAATGACTTCACTCTCACATGCTCACAGATCTGTGAGTGGGGGGGGATCTGTGAAATGTTTTACTCTTTCTCAACCACGCATTGCAAAACAAGGTCCTATAAGGGCATGAGGACTATGAATGTAGAGGGAGTCGGACGCTCAAGTCATTTCAGGGGCTGAAACAGCTCTCTTCAGCAGATACTGCACATTGTACCATTAACACACTGCTGGCCAGTCAGCTTGTAAGTTGTAAGTTCGAAACCCCAGTGAACACTTCATGAATTTGAGCTCATTGGAACAAAAAGCAAAGGCCAGAAAACTGACATGGTATTTATTCATCATGTGACGTTGTAGCGCCTTTTGGAATGACAACAAGAAATTCTTTATTTACGACTCAGCATGCATTAAGCAGGCATGTTGTTTAGACAAGTAGCATATTGTGGTGCATCAAATTCTTGTGATATGTTCTAGTCGAAGACGACCACCCTCTTGTAAACAGCTAATCTGACAGGAGTTCAATAAGAAGTCATGTGCTTGAGTTGATTTCAGAGTTGCATCTTTGTACAGGGTTACAACAGACTTGGACTCTATTTCATAAGATTTAATGAAAGTGCAGTTGTTTTGACTCTTTTGAAAAAGGTACAACTGTTCTTTGCTCAGATGGTAATTCATTATCAAGACATTAACACTTCAAAACTACATAACTGTGTTTATAAATTATTTATAAAATAATATAAAATTTAATATCCTGCATTTGAATATGATGGTTGAAGTTAAGTGTATAAATAATAGTGATTTTACAACGAACATTGAAATTATTATTTCTACACATAATTACTAACTCACAAATTCCCTGGCTATGCACACATAAGATTAGGTCTGTTAATCATTAACCACTGCATTTTTTATGTATGATTTTAAAACAAACTGGACTATCTTAGTTTTTAAGCTTGAACAGTTTGTTACACAGAAGAGTGCAATGAGATGGATAATGGTATCATGTTTTATTTCAATGGCCATGGTTTTTATTATGTGACAGTGTGCTCACTGTGCTGCATTATGGTGCTGTGTGGTAGTGTTTGGTCTTATTCAGTTGTGTTTTTAACTTGGTCGAATGTATTTTCAGTGTGCTACATCTGGATCGTAACAGAAGGTGTATGTGCGTGATGTCATATTTCTGCTAAAGCTAATACAGACTTAAACACTCCCCCCTAAAATGATATAAAACCGATGTCGTTTAGGCTTTTCTATAAATAAGCTATTATGGTTGAGTAATATATGCAACCAGTCACAGTATTCACAACGCTGGTTGCATCTGTAAATGAGTTGTGTAATTTGTAAAGGATATAACATATTATTATTATTCCATTATTTCAACATACATTTATTGTCATGTTGATGTCACTCCATCAGCTGCCATAAATGAGAGAGCACAGTCCAGTGTAGGGACATGGAAAACGAGTGCCACATTTTATTTCCATTGGATCCAATTTCAGTTTTAGGATGACTTCAAACCTTTGGAATAAATGACCCCCCCCTTAAGCCATAGAGGTGGAAGGCGCCAAGACAATCCATCTAGCATATGGTAATAGATTATCTTCTCTTTGACAACAGAGCTGTATTTACATTCTGTACAGAGGCAGTTTATTAAGAAAACGTGCTCAAGGCATGATCATGAGGACAAAACAGAAAAATGACAGTAAAATTTAACATTATTATAATACCAAGGGAGGGAATATGTAGAAAAAGAAACAAAAAAAATTACTGAAACAATATCATATATATATATATATATATATATATATATATATATATATATATATATATAGAGAGAGAGACATTTGCAGCAGGAATTGTCCATGACAACATATTGAAGTAACGATACTGTTTCCAGTAAACAATGTTATTGTTGTAGATTCAGTTTGTGAAATGAAGCCATCTGGTTTGCATAATGGCTTGAGATTATCCTGATATTGGGCTTTGTTACTGTGTTTATTTGTTTTAGCAACAAGTCCTTATCCTGACCTCAGGGCTAAACTGGCTCAACAGGCATTTATCCAACAAAACTTGGCAACATCACCCCCTCTCTGCTCTCTCTTTATTTTCTGTTTTACTGTCTTTATTTATTGACTTCTGGTCACTGTGTATGAATGAAAATACCCAGATAATGAGTGTACATGTAGTGTGGATGAAAGCGTCTCTATCTTTAGCACAATGGAGAAAAAAGACCCTCGGTTTAATGGAAAGGTCTGAGAAATGGGATGCTGGCCACCAAATGTAAGAGAGGGTTTGAAAAAAGAGAGCAGGGAAAAGGGGAAGGAGGGGTCTATGAGTTCAAACAGTGTGGGAACTGTCTCCCATCTCAAAAAACAGGAAGTCGAGAGGAATGTAACACAAACCTCAAAAGATAGGAAAGGGAGAAAAGAGACCGTCTGAGAGCAACCAAACCACCAGAATGCCCCCTAAAAAAACCTTGCCTCTCGGAGGCGCCTGACATTGCGCTGCACTTGTTTTGTACTCTGCACTTTTTGTGGTTGTTGTTGCCATCTCGAGCCAGATGCTTTTGTTCATTCAGCGAGGCCTCGTAAAGATGTCATTGTTTTACCACCATACAATGTTGCATTGTGAAACGTGTGCCATGGAGACAAAATGTTACAACATGCTAGCGAGGAAGGCCAGCAGCGGCATGAATCTGTGACCCTGGCACACATGGCCCTTCATGTCTTATTTGCTCTTTCAGCAAACCCAACAGAAACTGCTCTTGACAGGCTAATTAGGCCCTAACTGGAAAATAAATGTGAGCGCAAGTCATAAGACGTTATTTGGTAGCGAGGAGCCAGCTGCAGGGTTTGTAGCCTGTTTGTCGTGATGCAGATTCTCTCTTCGATTCATGAGCCTGTCAACAGCACACACACTAGCATCAGTCACAACTCGGTTCATATGAATGTTGTCATCTGTACACACCCATTGTAAACAATTTCCAGCCACAGTAGCCACTTCTGAGGACATGCCTGATATGTATGAAGGATTGAATTCATCCTACATAACTCAGATGAGATTTATCTTTAGTGTTTCACATTCAGGATCAGATGCACCTCGTGAAAACAAGGCTTCCATTTACATGTTGACGTGATTCTGTACTTTTGCACAAACATGCAGTCACAGTGGCTTTGTCTCATGAGCTCACCCTCATAAAGTGTTTTACAGGGTCTGTTGGACCAATTGTAACACGGTTTGTTCAGGACTAATGAGTCCAGCCGTGTGATGTCATTTCTCTCGGGGGGTCATCTCAGTGGAGAAGCTCAGACAGAGAGCCACACCCAGAGCCATGAGAACATGTAGAAGACAAGGAAATGAAAATGTTTAATGCTGAATAGAGAGAGATTTTATATATTGTAACAAGGGCTTATAGTGCTTCAAATAAAACAGGAGAGAGGTGCAGTAAAGGACAGAGTGGAGTGTGTGTCTCATTTAGCTTGTTTTACTGGAGACACACCACCTGAGGTCAGTGTGAGACTTGTTATCGCAGTGTGTTGATGGACAGTTTAACTCTGAGTGCATAGAGCATTAAGGGACTAAGGGGTAAACACAAGTAGATGTGTATTTGATATGATTAACAGTGGGATGGGCACTAAAATCAATAGTTATCACAGTAAAGTTTTCATCAGTAACAATATAACCAAGTTTCAATATGTTGCTTAAGCATTGTGCTAACACAGGGATGAGGTATAACACATAATTGATCAGCCACACATTTGTAAAATGTTTTGTTTATGTTTTTTATTCTCTGCTCATACAGATGTGTTTCAAACCATAACCTTTACTCAGGAGCATGAATCATTCTTTAAACTTAAAATAACAAATAGAGTGACTTTTATTATGATTATTATTATAGTTATTGACTGATATGAAAATTCATATCTTAATATAATTTTTGTCCATATGGCCCAACCCTTATTGAAAGTTACCTTGATGTGGATGAGATTGTAAAGATAAAAATGTGCATTGCTTGTGCAAGCAGGAAACAAGCTGATGGATGTATATCATGTATGACCTGCCAGCTATAGTCCTCCTATATTTATCACTGAGTAGTCACCTTTTACAAAAAGCACATGTGAGAAATATAAACTAGCAAAGCAGCTATTACTTATGTTTAAATGAAACATAACCTGATCTTGAATTACTGTAAATGCAATCTTAATCCCTGATCTATTTAATTTATTAGTGGTCAGATGAGTGCATCACACAAAACAAGATACTATCAAGAGGAGAACTTAAAATGTTCCTTAGTCAGATCAGGTGCGAAGTTGGGAAGTTGTTTTTGGCTGATTTGTCATTGAAGTTTTTACTGTTAAGAGTAATTTGTCCATTCACTAGAAATGTCAGTCAACAGGGAAACAAATGCATCCTTTTACAAGGCCATAAACATCTCATGTATATTTTTATTTACCAATACGTCCTTTTTTCTCTGTGCTCAGCGTGAACATGCTCGACTGGACTCGATGGTGCTGCTGCTAATGAAGCTGGATCAGTTGGATCAGGAAATTGAGAACGCCCTCAGTGCTACTGCCTCCATGGACAGCACCCCCACCCTCCATCGACGACCACTCCTGGTACAAACCTGGGATTTATCATGTTAACTTAACCTGACCTTATAGCCACATGTTTTTATGTGCTGCAGCTTATGATACACTCCCTCATTTTCCCCTTAGATGTAATAAACTTGTTTGTCCCCTAGTGGCCACTATAGCCATAGCAATGTGATAAGACTAAGACATTTAGCTTCTTGTACTGATAAGCTTTATTTGGCGTTTTGCCCTAGCAAAATGATTTTTGTTATTAACAAAGAAATACAGAAACATTGCAAACACAAAAACATTATAATTACATTTATAGTGTAAATGTTTCTTTTTGTGTGCAGGAGTCAGATTTAGGGTCTTTACCTGCATCACAAAACCCTCCTCATCCAAGCAGTCCTGCTGCCTCCACCTCAGGACCTGTACCTGCCCTTGGAGCAAAACCTAAGAGTGGGGTAAGTCAGGAGCTACATGTTACATCAGAATAAATCTGCACCATAATGAAAAAGAAATTAGGTTTTATAAAAATATCTTGGGAATGAGTTGTTTAATGACTCCCCTTAAACGCACACACACACACACACACACACACACACACACACACACAGTCTTTACTTCCCTTTTGGTTTCTTCTCCTTTACATTTAACCTTAAGTAAACTGAAATGTCAGGTTTGTGTGTTAACAGCTTAAAAGGAGGGATGTTGTTCATACAATATTTACAGTTTGTTCAAACTATCCCAAAGAGATCCAGAGCTGTGGTTTGTAGCAGCTTCTAACGTGTCCATGATCTAACAGTTACAATCGTTTTCATGACTTTTAGATGTGCATAGAGCTACTGTTAAAAGGCTTTATGTGTGTCTTATATCATAATTATTTTCTGGGGATGTAGTTGGACAAAAGTTTGAATCAAAATAGCAAACATAAACATGTTGTTCTTTCCATATTTGTGAGGACTCCCTGATTCCCTTGTCCCTTACCCCAATGTAATTCTAACCTAAACCTTAAAAAACAAGTCTTTATCCTGGAACAGCCCTTTGAAGTTGTGACGACTGGCTAAAATATCTTCAAAAGAATGATTATGAACCAGAATTTGTCCACACACACACACACACACATACACACACACACACACACACACACACTGAATTTCCTAATTGTAGGAATGTCCCCCAGCACTTAAGGCTTAGCCAAGCAGACGTTAAAACTCTATAATTAGCCTGGTTCCAAAGATGTACACCCCTTCGCCCCAACAAAAGGGTCAGAAGGTGGGCTCAGGGAGGTGAAAAGCCAGGGAAAGGGGGAGGAAGGGGGAAACACTTCAAGTGAGACGCTTGTCTTCAAACCTCTTGCTTGCTCACTTAATGACTTTGTCAGCTTTGCTTTGGCATTGCTTTCAGAACAAGGGCAAAGTGAACAGGGCCGGTGGACTGGACACTCAAGCAAGTGATTGTTTGAATGGCAATGAAAAAATAGACACTTTATCTCCTGATGAAGTGATGCATAATTGGATAAGAGTGAAAAATAGGGCAGGATGTTTCTGTTGCTAAACTTATCTCGTCAGAACAAAAACCTGCTACCCGTGGAAAAGTCGGAACTCCTTGACAAAGCGTCTTACATTCCTGAATTATCTCTCGCAATTCCTTCTCGACTTTGCTTTGTCTTGTTGCGTGTCACAGCTTTTCTGCTGTCACACAAAAGAGGAACATTTATTCAAGATGCACATATCAACATATTCAATGATGTGAGCTGTATTATGTCTGTGGCCAACTGTCTCCGCGGCCTCCATTCCTGCAGTAACCCAAGGTAACTCACTAAGCTTGGGTAAACACTGCTTTCACTGCGCCTAATAGGAGGCTTTTTACAGTGGAGACCCTGTGGGGTGATTGATTGAGGCCAAACAGATGATGACTTCATGAAGGGGATTGTCACTGGTTGATAGTTATAGGGGTCTTTTGAGTCCTTTCAGAGTTTAAGTTATCTTTTTAGCCACACAATACAAATCCTTTCAATGATATAAACATGAGGAAACGGTGGAGGTTAAGGCTTTAATTCAATCTGAAGTCACAGTCGTGTTTAGTTGATATTAAAAATACAACATGGACATAAGGGGCTATTCAAGCACAGAAATTTGATTATATATATATATATGTGTGTACTCAATTCTAAATTACAGGAAAGGCTGTGTGTACTGCCAGGATTTCACCATACAATCTTGCCAGAGGGGAATGTGTCAACGTAATCTCACAGTGTAATGTTAAATATCGTGTCCTCTCTCCAAGCATTAATCATCATACTGTTCACATTATTGTTCATATCCTTTATTATCATAGATTACGTAGTGACTGAATTACCAGAACTGATTACAGTGCAACAAAAAACCCTAATTCAAACTTCAGCCCCATGTTCGTGTCAGAATTGTTGATTAGTGTTGACAATGATCGCTTCAGAAAAACTAAGATTATTTTTGGCTGTTGGATCATATTACTTTGTTCCCTTCATATACAGTGAATAGACATACATCAAAAAATCAAGACATACAGTTCAAACAAATCATGTACTGGTAAGATGATAAGATGAGATCAGGCTTTATTAAGCCCACAGAAGGGAAATTTGTTACAGCAGCAGTCAATTCAAGGTAGATAAGAGCAGTGGAAAGAACAAAATAGAGTAAAAATAGGCAATAAAATATGAAAAGAAAATATGAAAAGAAAATATGAAAGAAAATATGAAAAGAAAATATAGAGAGATGTACATAATATACAAAGCCAAAATCCAAGCAGTGTTTAATAAAAGAAGCCAATCACAGACTCTGTGCTTTATAATATTTTTATTAGCATTTCCATGTGTTGCCTTGATCAAAATGCTAACAAAAATGTTCTTGCACAGGACATAACACAACATATAGGTTTTTATAGACACATTGTAAGTGCCTTTATGTTGAAGTTATAGCAACACAGAAATTGCTGCAGTAAACACTCCCATTGTTAATTAGTGACTCTGCAGTAAAGATATACGATATAACTTTGACACTGTATACAGGTATATACTGATTGTCCTTGAGTCCTGACTTCAACCCTATAGAACATGTGTGGAAACCTAAAGATGGCAGTTCACAGATACTTCCTATCCAATCTGAGGGAGCTTGATAGGATCTGCCAGGAAGTACAAAGCCTATAGAGACCAGAGCAGAGTCTGTATTTTACAGTGTAAAAGCTGTCAGGCATTTACAAAGTACAAAATTAGGGGCCGTATAATGTTTTGATTTTTAATATTATTTGCCAAGATCTCTAGACAAATGTTTTCACTTAGTTACTTTGGTTATTGAGAGAAGATTGATGGGCAAAATATATTTGTCCATAAAGTGTAGAAAAAGTGGTCTGAGTACTTAACCTCTATTGAAGGGTTGCATGTGCAACTCTATAAAATCTGCATGGCTGCCAGATGTGTATCTAGGCATCAAAACAGCTGTAAAAATTTATATCAGTGTGGAAAGTTGGGTGAAAAAATGTGACTGTCTCATCTTATGTCTTGCAAATGACTAGCATATGTATGTGTGTGTGTGTACATACACGCTTGTCATATTTATCATCATGCATTTGAATTCCTTCCATTTTATGCTGAATTAAGCAAGAGCTAAGTGTTATTACTGTCCGCGTAACACTGTGGTGTGACTTTTCCAAGCAAATACTCACATGTCTTTTTATGCAACCATGATAAATGATGGTATGTGGCTGTGTATGTTGAAAGGGAAATTCATGGCATGTACAGTATCCTTCACTCACAGCTGTAGATAAGGCATCGGGTTCAACTGAATAGATTTTTCTAACTCCTCAATAACTTAGCTGGTGGCTATTGTTAGCCTTCAGCAGGTGGCTGTTATTCTTGCATCGAATGTGGGGCTAACATCTCGCGGATGTTGTGCCACAGCAGGTGTTTTTTTCTCATGGTGGAACTGCTATTCTTTGCCCAGAGTGTTTTTGTTGGCAGGTTTCTTTTACTTGCTTAGTGTAACAGGTGCCATACAATGCTGTTTGGCTTGCATTGTTGTGTTGCAACAGGTGTGTCTTATTTTGTTTTAATGAACCCTTCTTTGGGTTTATATTATATGTAGATATGCAATTAATTGATCAATTAATTGTTRGGACAGAGAAAAGCTGCTCAGCACCGTTACTACGGTGATTGACAGTGACGAACACCAATCAGCTGACAGCACTGCTCTGAGCTTTAACCCAGAGGTCAAAGGTCAAGAGCAAAGACAAACTGGATTTAAACTTGAGGAGGAAACTGTTTCTGTGATTTCAACTCATTTTCATCACTGATCTTTTTCTGTAAAACAACAGAAACTGTGAAAAATGTTTTTGTTTCGTGTGAACGAAGTTTAAAACTCAAAGATATTTAATTTAAAAAGAGACAAAAAGAAGAAAGTCTGAATTTTAAAACATGTAACTGAAACACGAAGAAAGATTTAAAACAACACGAAACAAGAATTAAATCTACTGAACGTTTTAAATATTAAAAATGATCAAACTTTACTGGGAACATTAACGCACAGGAAGTTGAGCTTTTCAGATTTAAAGCTGAGAGGAAAACGAAGGGAAACTGGATGTTAAACAAATAAAATAATTCAAAACACACAACAGACTAAAAACAAACCAAACGAATGAACAAATGAACAAATGACGTCTGATGCAAAAAGGTTTTCTTCCTGTCAGTCAGACGTCGGTCACACTTTAATAGTTTAAATACGAGTTCAATAAAAACCATGTTTAAAAATCAGGAGCACACGTCCAGCTCNCCAATGAATTTTGGGAATTTTTTGGCACATAAATGATCAGAATAATAGATTTAATTAGCATTATGTCTTATGTTTACTGTATTAGCAACCGTTAATTCAGATTTATAAGCAGTGGTGATGAACTAGGGTTATGCTTGGCGCGAGAAGCATTTGTTATGTGACTCTATTTTTAGGGCTCTGTGGCTGCAGAGGATGTGCCAAGCCACAGAGGTGGGTGGAGGCTGCTGACCCCTGACCACCTTCCTCTTAATGTTACAGTCGGAAACAACATATCAGTCACCTTCAGTGCTTAGTGTTCCCACCAGCAAGACATATACTCAGAATCCCCTTAAGACCTCAGGTTCTGAACCCGCCACAGAGCACACCGGTTTGTTAAATTTAGCAGGGGGGCATTGCATATGGAGACAGGGAGGGCGCTGCCCTATACCAGCCCTTATCCCCTCCGTCTTTGCTAAACATTCCACAACAGGGCAACCTTTAACCCTTTGTTTGGATCTGTATTCTGTCTCCAGGGCAACAGCACTCCAAACACAACTCCTGTCATCTCCTTTGGTGGTTATGCTGCTGTTTGACACAGATTTCAGTAAATACATCTTTCAAGTTTCCATGTCAGGATTCAAGGGAATTTTCTGGAGATGATTGATTGAGAGATATTTTTA